ATGACTGGCAGGTTATAGAGTATCTGTGCAATATTGGAATTATATAGAGAAATGCAAACTGGCATCAAACAGTGCAAACTTAAGATAAGTTCTTGTAGTTTTATAAACCTGTGAACTGAAAAGCTAGAGTCTACTTAGAAAGTTCTGAATAAAAAGGTAGCATAAATCTTTAACAATACTACTATAAAGACTAAACTTAGAAAATAAATACTAATATAAAAGAAATCAGGCAGATAAAAACCTCAGATGAGAGGTATTACCAATTAGACTATTAAAAGTCTTGAATCAGATGAAAAGAATCTTGAGAAGCAGACTCTGAGGTACTAGAAACATGTTATAGCCTTCTGAGCTATCTGGATTGAGAGTCTGATATCAGAAGCAAAGATATATTATAAGTACTAAGAATATATTGTGAAGTTAATACTGAGGTCTGCATAAATTCTGCAAGAGTAAGCTCTATTAATAAGTATTAAAAGTAGGTAGTTAGTTAGCAAAAAGATATCTTTGAGTCTTACAATCAGGTAACATATTCTGAAATATATAATAGCTTGACAGATATACAGAAAAAAAGATCAAGGTTAGTTTAAATAGTATCTAAATAGGTATAAAAGAACTTGTATGCTATTTGTCAGTATAGTATAAAGATCAGAATATTTAAAATAAGCAATTTTCTAATAAATAACAGGTATGACAGCTAGTGTAGAACTTGTTGTATAGGTGAACTACTTAAATTAGACAACCAAAAGTTGTATAAGTGACTAGTTGTATACTTACTTTGTACAAATTATGTAATCATAATTAAAATATAATAAAGGCAGTAGTTGCCAATAACTACAGCCTTAATGAAACAAAAAAAAAACTTTTAAAATTTTTTATTTAATGTAAAATATAAAATTATATTAGTAAAAAATTAACCAATTTAAATAAATTTTTAGAGTTATAGTATTTTGTTTTTGCAAACATTTTTATTTAATAGCACAAGATCAAATAGTATAATAAAATTTTAATTTTACTATATGATAATGATTGTCTAATATAAAAATATCCTATTATTAGATTAAAATATTCAAATTTAATCTTTAAATCTAAATTTAATTGTTAGATCTGAACTTAAATATTAAATTTGATTGTTAAATTTGAACTTAAATATTTAATTTAATTTTAATAAGTTCAGAAATTTTTTTTTTTTTTTTTTTTTGCTTTTGCTAAGCTGTAGTTATCGGCAGCTATTGCCTTTATTGTATTTTTTAATTATAATTACATAACTTGTACAAGGTGAGTATACAACTAGCTACACATACAACTTTTGGTTGTCTAATTTAAGTAGTCCGTCTACACAACAGGTTCTATACTAGTTGCCATATCTGGAATCTACTAGAAGATTACCTATTTTAAACACTCTGATCCTTATACTTAAACTGACAAATAGCACACAAGTTCTCATACATCTAACCTAACTATGACCTTCATGTCTGTACATCTGTTAAGCCATTACATATTTCAAAGTACGTCACCTGACTGTAGAGCTCTAAAAGGCCCCCTGCTAACTAACTACCTATATTTAGTATCTTATTAACAGGGCTTACCATTGCAGAGTTCACCCAGATCCTAGTACTGACTTCATAGCATATCTCTAATACTTTAGTATACCTCTGTTTCTGACATCAGACTCCCAATCCAGATAGTCCAGTAGGACTATGACCTGTTCCTGGTACTTCAGGGTCTGCTCCCAAGGTCCTTTTCCTCTAGTTCGAGTCTTTTGGTAGCCTGGTTGGTGGTACCCCTCATCCAAGGTTCTTGTCTACCTAATTCCTTTCATATTGGTATCTGTTTCCTAGGTCTAACCTTTGCAGTAGTACTGTCAAAGATCTGTGTTACCTCTCTACTTAGGTCTTACCAAGTGGGCTTCTGGTTATCCCAGTTCATGGATTTATATAGCAACAGATGCTCTATAACCTGCCAGTTATCTGGTGCGACTGTATTACAGGTACTGATTTCATCTAATCAATAGATAGCCATTGCCATAGTACCAGTTTCAAGAACTTATCTTGTGTTTGCACCACCCAATGCTGGTTTGCATTCCTCTGTGTAACTCTAGCATTGTACAGATGCCTATATACACCAATGTAATATAGGTGGTTTTCTAAATTTTTACTGTCAGTAGGTTTTGAACTTCCAACCTACTACTTGGGAGATTGACAACTTATCCACTTCACTAAGTTGCCACACCCAGTTCAGAAAATTAATAATATGATTCAGATTTGTGGATCTTATATTTGGATCTACTAATTACAGCTCTATATAAAAAATTAGCTAAGTAATTATTCTGCAGATTTGATATAATAATAAGCATAATGTTTTAAATTCAAATAAATAATTAAAATTATAACATTTAGAAGTGTATTGAAAATTAACTACAAGATTTTCTGATTTAATTACATTTTATTGATAATTCATTCTGATTTTTATACTTTTTTCATTAATTTTATTAAAACTTATTATGCAAATGAAGTTTTAGGATTTTGAATAAGGTTTCAGGACTTCAAATGAGGTTTTGAAAACTATAATCCAAAACTCAAAACTTTCAGATTTGGCCAAAAAGGTTTTAGTGATCAACTTTAATATTTACTATTTTCTATTATACATATATACATGATATTTCTATTCAATAGCAAATAGTACATATATATGCATTATTTGATATTAAGTAAAAATAGCATATATATATGTACTACTTCTATTTTAATAGAAATAGCATGTTTATATATGTAATAGAAAATAGCACATATATTGTTACAGGTGGATCAATCAGTCTTTCAATTTAAGACTTATTGCCAGAGGTGTGATATTAATAAATTGGTATGAAGTTTGATACTTAATTTGTATTTATGTTATTATAGAAATCAAAATTTGATTTCTAACTTTATTAATTTTTATTTTTAAGGTTTGTGTACAGTTTAGTGTAAGGAGTTTTTAGTTTATTATTATTGTTTCTCCCTTAGAACCTCTCTTACAAAGGAGATATTACTACTCTTTTTATAACAATTAGTTTTTTAGAGCTAAAGTAAGTTATTTTAATTTACTCTGATTTCTATTCTAACATGATATGTCTCTTTCCTTTATATTCTAACATTATTCTCATCATCATTCTCATCATCCTTCTCATCATCACTCTTGTTATCGTTCTTATTACCACTCATCATTATTACATTTTGTGTAACAGTGCAATGATAGATGGTTGTATTTATGCACAGTTATTACCTCATCTGTTAACTGGATATTGCCACCTTATATTTTAGTTGCAGCTCCGACCCTATCTTCTGGATTCACACCTTTTTATCACGTAACAATATATATGCTATTTATTGTGAGCAGTAGGATGGTAGTGTCAGAAGCTTGTGATCGGTGATGGCTATGCTGATCACCTACCTTAAATGGGTTTCCTGGCAGTATACACTGTATTCGCAGTATACTAGTATCCTATTGACACCAGCGAATGGCATCGGCATTTTGGTCACTTTTCAAACGGATATGTCATGTAACCTACGAACGGCTTAGTCAATAAGAGGCGGTTAGATTTGGCGAGTGGTATGTTTATGATCGTAGGTTTTACAAGATAGCGAAGGTCAGGGAATTATAAGGGTCAAACTTCATTACAAGCATGAACTCTGCCTCCTTTCTTCAGAGGGCTCGAAGCCTTTATTATATACTTTCATTTATATAGAACACGTTATACACTGTATTCGTGATATATCATTTATACTACTTATAACATTTATACTAATTATACTGATGATAATGTTTATACTGATTATTTTAAGTATATCCTTAATCCCACTGATATCTATTATTCATTTGATACATAGGATACATAGTATATTGCGAATACAGCATATACTGCCAGTACACCCATTTAGGGTATATGATCTACATAGCCAAGAGAGCGTGACATAGAGTCATATGGCGTAGATTCCACATCACTCGTGAATCATGTGTTTCGGGTCTAACACTATGTATTGGGTGAATAATGGGTATCAGTGGGATCAAGAGTATACTTAAAATAATCAGTATAAACGTTATCATCAGTATAATTGATATAAATATTATAAGTAGTATAGACAATATATCACGAATAAAATGTATAATGTGTCCTATATAAATGAAAGTATATAATAAAGGCTTCGAGCCCTCCAAGAATCAGTTCAGTTAGTTCTTATCATAAATTTGCTCCCAATAATTTCTCTGTTTAAACATATTATAAAATCTACGATTATAAACACACCACTCGCCAAATCTAACTGCCTCTTATCGACTAAGCCATTTGTAGGTTACACAATGTATCTGTTTGAGAAGTGCCCAAAATGCCGACGCCAGTTCAATGGTGTCATTTTAGTGGTGACTGTGAAATCAGAAATTAAGAGAATCCTGATATAAGAGTTGTAAAGAAAGAATAGATTAGATTAAAGAGAGAATGAAAGAATTCTGCCAACAATTAGAAAGAATGAACAAGAGACTTACCGCCATTACCACCCAGATTGAAGTCTGCTCAAAACCCAACCAATGTGCCGGAATCTCAGACCAACCTACAGAAGAAAGGAAGAGAAGTTAAAAGAGAAAGCAGAAAAATTAAGTAAAAGAAACTTATCACAAAGACTCCAACAGGAAGTTTGGTGCACCTATTGCAAAGTAAGAGGCCATGCCATCAGTAAGTGCTTGCATGCAACCCTCTTACAAGAAAAGTGTGCTGGCCTCTTCAACACACTTACCAAAAAACAAGCAGATAAAGTCCAAGAAATCATTGATGAAGCTTATGGAAATCGTCACCTTAATGATGAACAACTTCCCTAGACACTGAAATTTTTGTTGAAAACATTAGAAAGTGTATCTACAAATAATGAAAATAGAATAGAGGAAACCATATACCTACTCTCATATATCAAAGTATCTGCAACACCTGTTCTGTGTAACCTTCCTCACCATATAAGTCATCAAGAAAATTTCTATATCTCTAAAAGTCCAAAACGAACTTTTAAAATTTGTTCAGCTAAGCTCTGCCAAAAGAAACCAACTGAAGTTATTGAATCAGATTCTATCCTGAAGGTCTCCAGATATAACAATAAAAGAGAAGACCTAAAACAAGAGCAAGATGATAAATTAGATGCTAAAATAGTGTTAGAAAAGTTGACCAATGATTACCTTGAAGGCCTGAAGTTTTGGTTACCTGAACCCAAGTTTGCACCGAATGGATGAATAACCATGGATATTGTCTTGGAATTAGAGTTGAAAAGATGAAACAAAACCTTAGTGAACAAGTAAAAGACAAAATTGACTTAAAAGATGAGTTGAAAGACTTAATCAACAATTACCTGGAGACTCTGAAGACCTGGACATCTGAACCACCCGTTTATTACCAAAAATCAGCAGAAATTAGGCATGTTGATAAAGCTGAATATCATTATGAGAAAGGAATTGGAATTGAAGTTAAAAAGAAAGTCAATGTAGATAATGATGATGATGACAGTGATAATGATGATGACGATGGTAATGATGATGCTAATACGATAATTAATGAAGACAATGATGAACCTAAGACTGAAAAGGATGAACTTAAAGCCTTTGAAGACTATCAAAAATCTGCAAAAATGAGAAATACTGATGAAACATGTTCTGTTGGTTATTGTTATGGAAATGGAATTGAAGTTGGAAAGGCCGAATGTAAGGACCTTGATGCGCAAAGTTGCTGACATACTTTGTTGAAAAACTTGGATCAAGTCTGTCAAGATTGGAATAGATGAATTGATAGGTTCAAAAAGTTGATCCAAAATGAACAAAAATGATAAAAGGAACTGCCAATGCCAAAGAAGAGGCACTGACTATAGAAATTAAATTAAAAAAGAAGATTATAACATACTTGAATGGTATTTGAAGAATGCTAGAAAGGACAACTCGAATGAACAAACCAGTGTCAGATCCTGCCGTGAAGAGAAAAGCAGAGCTCAGTGAATAGCCTCCCTAGTTAACCTAAAGTAGAGTTTTGTTATATTTAATATAATAACTATATAGTTTTCATAGGTCTGTCTTTTTGAAAAAGTTGGTATGAGGGATCGTCAGAAAGAGTTGCATTCTTTATAGTTTAGTTTAATTGATATTGCTAATGTAAAGCTATAAAGATTGAGTGATGTATAATTGTAAGAATGTATTTGTTTAAGAAAAAAATAATGTGAAAGTAGAAGTAGGCCTAGATGGGCTAACTATTTATTATATTATAAAACTGAATTCAGTAGTATATTGTATGATAGATCTTGTGATATTTCTTTAAAGTGAGATAATGCAATGAGGTTCAAGAAGATAAAGGGTTTCTCTATAAATTTGCTTATCATATACTTAGCTCTTACAGCTGCAAAGAATACCATAGCCTGCTTTGTATATTGAGTCTGGCTATTATAAACTTGGTTCTCTATATATATCTATTAAAGCTTATATACAATATATTTATATTTATATTATCTATTATAAATTAATATTTTAGTAATAAAAACACTTATTTAATCTTATAATCAAAATACTATATAGATTTTCATTTTAGGTATATTTCTAATTTTAAATTAAAACTAGCAACTTAAATCTAATCTTTTAATTATTAACAATAATTAATTTTCTATATTATTAAATTTATCTTGTAAATAAAGAAGGAAAAATATAAATCTTTAAAAAATTTCTTTAATTTTTTTAAAAAAAATAATTTATAAGCAAATCAAATTTAAAATTCTATAATAAATACAAAAAAATTTTTTAATTAGTTTCATAAATATTTAATTACTACTGAAATAGAACTATTTACTAATTTTAACATTCTACTATTTTAACAAATTTTTGATTTTTTATACTTTATTTTATTAATTTTATATTAAACAAATTACCAAATCTGCAACTAAATATAAATAAATATTAAAATAAAGTTTTAAATACTTTGTAAAACTCTTGCTAAAATATAATTTACTATATTTAACTATTTTAAAATTTATTTTTATATAAATTTATTATTTTTTATAGTTTATAAAACTATTTTTAAGTAATAATTAACTTGATAAAAATTTATTTTTATTTACAAAATAAATATTAAATAATTGAACTTATTAAATTTTTTAAAATAATTAATATTTTACTAATCAGTTTTTAATTTCTCTATTTATTAATAATAATGCTATTAATAAACATTTATTTAAAATACAAAATAATAAAAAATACAATATTAATATTACATTTGAAATATGATGACTTAGTGAAGTCAATAAGTTGTCAAGCTGCCAAGTGACAAGTTTTAAATTTAAAACCTATTAATAATAAAAATTTAAACAATTATTTGTGTTATAACAACACAATTTTCTATTAATTAATTGAAATAAGATATCTGTAACTATAATTATATTAGCATGACTAACAACTTATAGGACATCTATGTAACCTTGATTCTACAAAGAAATATAAACAGTACTAAGTAGTACAAACTTAAGATAAGTCTTTGTAATTATATAAATTTACAAAATTAAAAAAACAAATACTTATTTTAAAAAACTTAAATCAATAGATAATATAAATCTTTAATAAAATTACTGTAAAAACTAGATCTAAGAAATGAATACTAATATAATAAAGCTAGACAGGCAAGAACCTCTAGAAAAAAAGTACTACTAATTAGCTGCTAATATCATATTGAAGAAAAAATTATTAGACTAAACTTAGTATATCAAAAACAGATTATAGTTCTACTAGACTATTTGAACTAAGTGCTAAAAAAGGAACCAAATTGATCATTTTTTCAAAATGATTATTTTAAGCTTAATTAATTTAAAATTAGTATAGAAACATTTTCTACTTAATAAAGAAATATTGTTGTATTAATAAAATTTTATGATATAATTTTTTTTTTTTTTGGTATTAAGGTGAGGCCTTGCTTATATCTTTATTAATAATTTAAAATAGTTATATATATAT